ACAACATCTAAACAGGTGGGAGCCTCGACCAACCACAACACATGGCAGAACGTGTGTAGTAACGAACTCCACCAACAGTCGGTGTTGGCCAGCATGCAATGACGACAAGCACAACGTTTGGGAGTGTGCAACGTTTAAAGAGATGAGCACCGCACAACGCTCGGTAATAGCGAAGAACGAAAGGTTATGTTATGGGTGCCTGAACAAAGGCCACATGGTGACGCAATGTCAATGGCAGATCACGTGCAACAGAGATGGATGCAAGGAAGTACACCATCAAATGCTCCATGCTGATTCAACTAGCACTACCGCCTCAGAACCAGCACAGCCCGTGCCGAAGCACACAACTTGGAAACCCAAGCCAACACCCAGACGTCGTCGGAACAATCCAACAGTTGGCCTCACAGTCACATCGCACGATCCATGTGAAGAGGTGGCAAACTCCATGGAAGGGGAGCAAGATGCTTTCACAGTAGCCCATGCAATCAGTACAACGATTGGGTTGCGAACTGTGCCAGTAATACTCAAGAATGGAATCAAAGAAATGCAAGTGAATGCCTTGCTTGATGATGGTAGTACTGGTAAATTTCTCAACAGCAGCATGGCTTCGGAACTCGGGTGTAATGGTCCTCCAGACATATTGACAATCAACATGCAATCAATATGCTCAATGGTCAGCAATCCTCCTTCCCATCCATGCCAGTGAGGGTATCGATCAAAAGTTTGGATGGCAATGTTGAGGCCACAATAATGGCACAGACAGTGGACAATGTCGTAAGGCAAATGCCTATTGTCGACTGGAACCGCCACACTCACAGATGGAAGCACCTGCAGGGAGTCCAATTCCACATCATCAACCATAAGAAGCCGGTTGATCTTCTGATCGGCCTGGACAACGCACCGTATCACGTGGCAAAAGCAGAAATAATAGGCAACGAAGGAGAACCCATTGCTCGCCTAACAAAGCTTGGATGGACGTGCGTTGGCAATTCGAACCCAGGAAAAACACCACGAATGAACATTGGCCAATCAACGGCATCCGAGCATCGAGCAATCCAGACCATGAACTAAACGACTTAGTACGGAGGCTCTGGGAAATCCAAGAGGTGAGCCCTGCCAAGGCCCAACAGCTGGATGACGATGAACGGCAAGCCGTAACATCAGTACAGCAATCAATCAAGTCACCGTGATACAGATGATACAGATGATACAGATGATACAGATGATACAGATGATACAGATGATACAGATGATACAGATGATACAGATGATACAGATGATACAGATGATACAGATGATACAGATGATACAGATGATACAGATGATACAGATGATACAGATGATACAGATGGGAAATACACTGTGGGTGTAACATGGAAGTCAGACCCGGCAAAGCTACAGAGCAGCTACAACATGGCCTTAAGCGACTAGGTCCCACCGAGAAACGCTTGCTGAATGTCTGCAACACAGTACAGCAACACAATCAATCGCTACCGAAAACTTGGATATATCTCAGAAGTAAAACCGGACGACAAGCAAACCGGATGGTATCTGCCTCACTTCCCAATTAAACAAATGGGCCGGGAAGCGACGAAAGTGAGAATTGTATTTGATGCTGCAGCACAAGTCTCAGGAGTATCACTTAACAGTGCCATCAGTCCCGCACCCAAGTTTCAATGCAACTTAACAGAGGTACTTCTACGGTTTCGGAAGGAACCTGTGGCAGTGGTCTGTGATATTGCAGGAATGTGTCTACAGATTGCCATTCCAGAGACGGATCGAGCATATCACCGATTCCTATGGCGAGAACCAGGATCAACACAACCGCTGACGGTATACGAATTCAACTGAGTGGTCTTTGTCAGCACCTCCATTTCTCGCCCAGTACGTAACACAAGAGCATGCCAGGCAATGTGCTCATGATCTACCACTGGCTTCCGCAGCAGTTTTGAATTCGAACTACATGGATAATACCATGACTTCAGCCAGTGATTATGATGAAGGCAAGTTACTACACTCCCAACTATCAATATTGTGGTCATCTGCCGGAATGCACCCACGGAAATGGCTCACCAACTCCGTTAACGTCTTGGCTCAAGTTTTCCAAGAAGACAGAGCTTCTTAATTGGAACTTGACTCGGAGCAGTTACCAGCAGTGAAAACGCTTGGAATACTCTGGGAGGCAAAGCAAGATGAGTTCACCTTCAAGGTTTCAGAGACAGAGGAGCAAGCTATGACCAAACGTCTGTTTCTTCGGAAAATCTCTAAGTTCTTTGACTCACTTGGCTTCCTCACTCCATTTGTGGTGCGAGCCAAAATGCTATTTCAACAGATGTGGCTCGACATGTATGACTGGGATGATCCCCTACCAGCTAATGTAGTTGCAACAGCCCAGCAGTGGTTTCGGGAACTGCCAGCGCTGCCGCAGTTCGGATTCCGTGGTGCACCCAACAAGCATCATCCAAGTAGGCACTGAGTACACACACTGAGTGCACACACTGAGTACACACACTGAGTACACACACTGAGTACACACACTGAGTACATACACTGAGTACATACACTGAGTACATACACTGAGTACACACACTGAGTACACACACTGAGTACATACACTGAGTACATACACTGAGTACATACACTGAGTACATACACTGAGTACACACACTGAGTACACACACTGAGTACATACACTGAGTACATACACTGAGTACACACACTGAGTACATACACTGACTACATACACTGAGTACACACACTGAGTACACACACTGAGTACACACACTGAGTACACACACTGAGTACACACACTTTTTGAGAGGACATTCCTTGATGTCCGGGTTTTCAACCCATTTGCCCCCTCAAACAAGAAGTCATCAATCCCGATAGTGTACCGCAAGCACGAAAAGGAAAAAGAGAAGAAGTTATGAGAGAAGAGTCGTTGAGGTAGAGCACGGATCATTCATCCCGGTCATGCTCAACACCACAGGTGGTCATGGCAAGGCAGCTGGCAATCTCTACGCTCGGATTGCATCCATGTTGGCCGATAAGAGTTCCGAGCCTTTATCGTCATGGCATACATCCGCACTCAACTGTCTTTTGCGCTGGTCAATGCCGCAGTCACAGTCCTGAGAGGTCATCGGCACAAAGCGTCAAGAATCAACGGCTGCCCTTCGATCACGTTAGCAGTGGCAGAATGCAGCATGTAATGGTCAATCCTTGACTTAGTTTGGTAATCGTTTTAGTACGTCGACCCCCGTGCTGAGTTTGATATGGTTTCTGGTATCTTGGCCATAGACTACTACGCATACTGCTTTTAGCGGTTTCTTTGCATTTTACTGATTGATTACTAGTACTAAAAAAGGTTTGCTCCCCACACCGGAGCTCGCGCTATTCGGTGTGGGGAGCAAAACCCTTTCTTACAAATCATGGCCGAAGTCGCAACCACTACTTTGATTACTAGTACTGTTTACTGTATTTATTTCACCATGGCTGGTTAAGGCTGGTTAAAATCGCCCGCATCACATGCTTATTGGCACTATGTCATTTTGATTGTGAAATAATAATAATAATTTAAAGTACACACACTGAGTACACACACTGAGTACATACACTGAGTACACACACTGAGTACACACACTGAGTACACACACTGAGTACATACACTGAGTACATACACTGAGTACACACACTGAGTACACACACTGAGTACATACACTGAGTACACACACTGAGTACACACACTGAGTACACACACTGAGTACACACACTGAGTACATAGGTGCATATCTTCGCCGATGTCTCACAGGATGCCTAAGGAGCAGTAGCATACTGTACTATCGAGTGATGAACAGAGACGAGACAGTGTCATGGCGACCCATAATGTCAAGGAGCAGAGTCGCGCCAACCACCGCCACCAGCATTCCAAGATTGGAGTTGCTCGCCGCAGTAGCTGGTGTAGACCTAGTGAAACCAATCATCAAAGCACTCAGTCACTCCACATCAGTCGTCTTCTGGACCGACAGCCAGGACGTCCTACATTGGATACGTGGAGCAAGTCGAAAACTGAAGACCTTCGTGGGAAATCGTGTTGCGTACATTCAGGAATCCACCCATCCATCACAGTGGCGTTATGTACCCACTGCAGAAAATCCAGCAGATCATTTGACACGGGGACACTCAGCCAAATTCCTGGCACAAAACTCGCAATGGTGGGAAGCACCGAGTTTCCTTCAGCTGATGGAGTCTGAGTGGCTGGCAACAGTTCTACCCGGGAAGAGCAGCACTGCAGTTGACCAAGAGACACGGAAGTCGACCAAATTCGATTCAGCAGCAATACGATGTGTGAAGAAGCAGACTGACACTGAGACATCTAAGTCAGCAGCTAATGCACAAGCCCAGTCAGTTGTGCTAGCAACGCAAAAATCAGCGGAGAACAACAGCAGTGGTTGGCAACTTGATCCCAGTCGTTTCTCTAAATGGCTAGTATTGGTCCGACAGGCGGCATGGGTTATTCGTTGTGCGAACAATTGTCGCACTCAAGCAGCAGTGAGAGTTATGACTGGTCTAACAACGGACACGGGGAAATAGTAGACGCTGAGAAGACAGTCATTAAAAGCTGTTTAAATGGAGGCATTTCCAGCAGAGTACGAGTTAGTCCGGAAAGGAAAAGCGGTCCCAACAGGGAGCAAGTTGGCGGGTCTCTCCCCATTCCTGGACGAATTGGGCATTCTAGGAATACGAGGACGCCTACAAAATGCGCAATTCCTGTCGTATGATGCTCTACATCCAATGATCATGGCTCGGAACGGACATGCCATGCAACTTCTAGTCCGACATTATCGCGGGAAGGCAGGACACAGCAGTGCCGTCAAGGAAACCATGACACAACTGCAGGAACGTTTCTGGGTTATAGCAGCAAGAGAGGTGATCCCGGCCACGAGGTAGAGGCAACCTGCAATTATTGTAAGCGAAAGAAAGCTAGGCCAGCAACACAAGTGATGGCACCACTGCCGAAGAGCCGACTTTCAGAACCGTTAGAAGCCTTCGCAAGAACATCTGTTGACTACGCTGGCGCCTTCGAGACAAAGCAAGGTCGTGGTCAGCGCCGTGCTAAGCGGTATCTCTGTCTGTTCACGTGTATGACCAGTCGTGCAGTGCATCTAGAAATGGCTACTTCGCTATCAACAGACTGCTTCCTGAACGCATTCGAGCGTTTCTGCAGCAGAAGAGGAGTGCCAACACATGTGCGGTCGGACAATGGTACGAATTTCGTCGGTGCACAGCGGGAACTACAAGAGTTGATCAACCAGTTTGACGAAGAGAAGATCGCTCAGAAAGCAGCCAACAATGGTATCCACTGGTCCTTCAATCCTCCACTTGCACCACATTTTGGAGGTGTTCACGAAGCTATGGTAAAATCGGCAAAACGAGCCCTTCGTGTCGTCCTCCAGGGTGCAGATGTGACAGATGAAGAACTCCAGACAGCGTTTGTCGGAGTAGAAGGTTTGCTCAACTCTCGTCCACTCTCGTAAGTCTCGTCTGATCCACGTGACGACATCCCACTGACACCAAACCACTTCCTCATAGGCATGGCTGGTGGAAGCTTTGCCCCAGAAGAGGATGCGACTGATTTCAGCCCCACTCGTATCGCTCCACAGGTACCCTCAGTCTCAGGTACTCTCATTTGTGCAATTGTTAATTTTGCTCCTGAATTGTCCTCCCTTTTGCTTTGCTACCGTCCTCCTCCTTCCACCACCCCTTTTCTTAATTAACCTCATTATCACATTCGCTTCCATGTAATTGGGCTCGTAGCCCGTGTGTACTTGCGAATTCAAATAAAAACACACATACATACATACTCGTCCATCCTCGGCCATGTGCTGAGGATGAGTGAGCAGTCACCCCCTTGCCTTGCGATGTCCTGCTATTTTCAAGCGGGGTCACGTGGACGAAGGGGCCGTCCCGCGGCTACTCTCCCTACCACCATCATGAAGGACCTGACAGGGCACGACATCCCTTCGAAGATTGCCAGCGACCTAGAAGGAGCACGAGCATTTGCTGCAGACAAGTCGAAATGGAGATCAGACATTGTTTATGGATGAGTTTTTGTTGACTGGAGACAGAAGCGGACTTGGCTTAATTACAGTTTATTCCCATGCATTGTTCTCTGTCCTTTGCACACGTGCTGTGGTATTATTATTATTATTATTATTATTATTATTATGCGTGCTGTGGTATTATTATGCGTGCTGTGGTATTTTTGTGCGTGCTGTGGTATTATTATTATTATTATTACGAAGTAGTGGTTGCGACTTCGGCGATGATTTGTAAGAAAGGTTTGCTCCCCACACCGGAGCTCGCGCTATTCCGCCGACTTTACTTGACACTTGACTGACTCACGATGACTCGATGACTCGATGGACTTCTCGTGTGCTCTGGATGGCAGTCGTGAGTCAGTCAAGTGTCAAGTAAAGTCGGCGGAATAGCGCGAGCTCCGGTGTGGGGAGCAAACCTTTCTTACAAATCAACGCCGAAGTCGCAACCACTACTTCGTACTGTTGTGCCCAGCGCGGGCTTGCGACTAGTTGGTTTGGAGGTGACAGCGTTGCGAATGACCGAGGGTCCTCGACGTCTGTCTCACCGTCCAGGAGCGACACTGACTCACGCTGCTATCTGGTGTTCACGAGGTGTTTATCGCGCTGGAAGCGGAGCGTCTCTGTAAGTTTGTATCCCTGGTGATGTTTGTGCCTGGAGAGCACTATATAAGTGGTGCTCTTCAGGCACAATCTTCCTCAGCCTACTCAAGCTCAACTGATGAGGGGTGAATTCCCCGAAACACTGTGTATTGAGCAGGGAGTGGTGCTTTCTTGCAGGTTTGCCGAGTCGAAGGTTCGATGGACTTCTCGTGTGCTCTGGATGGCAGTCGTGAGTCAGTCAAGTGTCAAGTAAAGTCGGCGGAATAGCGCGAGCTCCGGTGTGGGGAGCAAACCTTTCTTACAAATCACCGCCGAAGTCGCAACCACTACTTCGTACTGTTGTGCCCAGCGCGGGCTTGCGACTAGTTGGTTTGGAGGTGACAGCGTTGCGAATGACCGAGGGTCCTCGACGTCTGTCTCACCGTCCAGGAGCGACACTGACTCACGCTGCTATCTGGTGTTCACGAGGTGTTTATCGCGCTGGAAGCGGAGCGTCTCTGTAAGTTTGTATCCCTGGTGATGTTTGTGCCTGGAGAGCACTATATAAGTGGTGCTCTTCAGGCACAATCTTCCTCAGCCTACTCAAGCTCAACTGATGAGGGGTGAATTCCCCGAAACACTGTGTATTGAGCAGGGAGTGGTGCTTTCTTGCAGGTTTGCCGAGTCGAAGGTTCGATGGACTTCTCGTGTGCTCTGGATGGCAGTCGTGAGTCAGTCAAGTGTCAAGTAAAGTCGGCGGAATAGCGCGAGCTCCGGTGTGGGGAGCAAACCTTTCTTACAAATCACCGCCGAAGTCGCAACCACTACTTCGTACTGTTGTGCCCAGCGCGGGCTTGCGACTAGTTGGTTTGGAGGTGACAGCGTTGCGAATGACCGAGGGTCCTCGACGTCTGTCTCACCGTCCAGGAGCGACACTGACTCACGCTGCTATCTGGTGTTCACGAGGTGTTTATCGCGCTGGAAGCGGAGCGTCTCTGTAAGTTTGTATCCCTGGTGATGTTTGTGCCTGGAGAGCACTATATAAGTGGTGCTCTTCAGGCACAATCTTCCTCAGCCTACTCAAGCTCAACTGATGAGGGGTGAATTCCCCGAAACACTGTGTATTGAGCAGGGAGTGGTGCTTTCTTGCAGGTTTGCCGAGTCGAAGGTTCGATGGACTTCTCGTGTGCTCTGGATGGCAGTCGTGAGTCAGTCAAGTGTCAAGTAAAGTCGGCGGAATAGCGCGAGCTCCGGTGTGGGGAGCAAACCTTTCTTACAAATCAACGCCGAAGTCGCAACCACTACTTCGTACTGTTGTGCCCAGCGCGGGCTTGCGACTAGTTGGTTTGGAGGTGACAGCGTTGCGAATGACCGAGGGTCCTCGACGTCTGTCTCACCGTCCAGGAGCGACACTGACTCACGCTGCTATCTGGTGTTCACGAGGTGTTTATCGCGCTGGAAGCGGAGCGTCTCTGTAAGTTTGTATCCCTGGTGATGTTTGTGCCTGGAGAGCACTATATAAGTGGTGCTCTTCAGGCACAATCTTCCTCAGCCTACTCAAGCTCAACTGATGAGGGGTGAATTCCCCGAAACACTGTGTATTGAGCAGGGAGTGGTGCTTTCTTGCAGGTTTGCCGAGTCGAAGGTTCGATGGACTTCTCGTGTGCTCTGGATGGCAGTCGTGAGTCAGTCAAGTGTCAAGTAAAGTCGGCGGAATAGCGCGAGCTCCGGTGTGGGGAGCAAACCTTTCTTACAAATCAACGCCGAAGTCGCAACCACTACTTCGTACTGTTGTGCCCAGCGCGGGCTTGCGACTAGTTGGTTTGGAGGTGACAGCGTTGCGAATGACCGAGGGTCCTCGACGTCTGTCTCACCGTCCAGGAGCGACACTGACTCACGCTGCTATCTGGTGTTCACGAGGTGTTTATCGCGCTGGAAGCGGAGCGTCTCTGTAAGTTTGTATCCCTGGTGATGTTTGTGCCTGGAGAGCACTATATAAGTGGTGCTCTTCAGGCACAATCTTCCTCAGCCTACTCAAGCTCAACTGATGAGGGGTGAATTCCCCGAAACACTGTGTATTGAGCAGGGAGTGGTGCTTTCTTGCAGGTTTGCCGAGTCGAAGGTTCGATGGACTTCTCGTGTGCTCTGGATGGCAGTCGTGAGTCAGTCAAGTGTCAAGTAAAGTCGGCGGAATAGCGCGAGCTCCGGTGTGGGGAGCAAACCTTTATTATTATTATTATGTAATTATAATAAATATACATACTCGTCGGTGGCGATACGTGCAGAACCTGATCAAGAACAGCTGGCAACGGTGGATAATGGAACTCGTGCCAGCTCTGAATTCCATACAGCAGTGGCGGACACAGCAGAAGACTGTGAAGATTGGCGATGCTGTCGTTGTTGTCGCTTCAGACACGCCACGCGGCCAGTGGCCCATCGGTCGCATTGTGGAGGTCATGCCAGGACCGCATGGCAATGTTAGAGTTGTGCGTGTCCAAGTGGGCTCCAAAGTCTTCACCCGACCTATCACGAGAGTTTGCCCGATCGTAGAGGAAGAATGACTGCAATCACTGTAATGCATAATGTTTTGCTGAGTGCTAGTAGTGCTAGTAGTGCTAGTAGTAGTAGATTATACAATCTCACAGCACAATGTTATTGCTTGTCGCAACAACAACTTACAGTATGTACAGTATCATAATAGCAGCGTAGAGGTTGATTAACGGCGGGTTAATCAAAGAAGGGGAGGATGTTTAGAAGTATACAGTACTTCCTACATTTACGATTATTCTTCCATGATCCTTGCATGGCGCCACTACACACTGGAGAGTACTTATACCACCACTAATTATATGTAGTCTTCATTGTTTCCAGAATACAATACTGGTGCCGCTATGCTTCATTTGCAATAGGTCCTTGTGCAGTTGTATGGACTTATCTTCACTGCAATATCAGTTTCATGCTCCAATGCTTCCTTTGTAGCACTGATGTGTGCTGCTATTAATCAATGGCATTTCCAGCTTGCTTGCTACACTTTCACATACTCTCTTTAGCTGTTTTGCTGCCTGCTGCTTGTTTCCCACAATAGACACCAGCTGAAGCTTCCTAGCTGGCCCCCTTGCTAGAACCCTTGTTAGATTCAGTATAAGTTCTTTAGTTTGTATCTCATACGTTGTTGATTGAGTAGAGGCCTTGCTAGAGAACAGTTAGGTTTTGCTCTATGTTCATCGCTAATAAGACTAAAACTTATTTAGCGTAAAGATAATTAGATAACAACACTCGTGACAAGGTGGAAAATTATCAAGTTTAGCACAACACAAAACTCAAAGGAAAATAATAATAGTGACAACAACATAGTGAGCAAATTAAGTTACATTGTTACCACCTCGACGAGGAGTAACACCAAACAATTGTAGCGACAACACATTTTCTTTCTGTACGCAAAGTTCAGGATCTAACTTACGGATATACAAAGCTTCTTACACAGCCAAATGTAACGCACATCTACCACGTGACAATATTGAGAAAACATTATCACTGTACAACTCACGACAATTGGTACGGAACAGCATAAAAGATGGTGAAAGACCCACACGTAAACCACCGAAACTGACAAAGGATCTGTCGGCGTCGGAAAGGGTGACGAGAAGCCAAGGGAAAATACGGACTGATGAGGACGAACGTACAACGACAACGGAAGTGACAACAACAGTCAATATTCGAAAACGTGGTAGACCACGAAAACTAACCTCAATATCGGACACCGGACAAGTTGGAGTAAGAAGCTCAATAGAAATCCGCAATGGAGGAGACGTAACGGAAAGGACACCGGGTATCGCGCACCCAACGGTTAGTGTCAA